TTGGGATCAAGCATTTCCCTTCCGCCATTCCTTTAATGATTTACGATTATAACAACGCACTGTATTGCCTCATTATGTCATGTTAATATTTACTTCTGTCCTCATTATCACCTAATCATGATTGCTACCATTATTATGCCTTCGTGAAGCATCTAGGTATGAAGGGTTGTTGTTTTTAACAATACCAAGTAAAACAAACAAAACCAAATATTATTCTAATAACTTATATTAAATATAAGCATATTAAATGTATATTTAACTTTTACTTTAATATATTCAATCTATATTCAATACTTAAATATATTTAAACATATAAGTGTATATATATTTGAGACTTAAATAATAAGCTTATATTTAATCATTAATTAAACCAACATTTATTGAACACTCATTATATTACAAGGCAGAATTTTAATTACAGAAATGCAAAGATGTTTAAGAAATTGTCCAGACTTCAAGGGACACAATCTAACAGATTATAAAACAAACCTACAAACACTACAATATAATGAAAGCAGTGCAAAATGTGCTTGAAGAAGTAATAAAGGATACTGGTAAACATAACTACATAGGTAAATATAAAATCTACTGTTTTTGGTTTATAACTCTCCTTTTTTTCCTATATGATTTTAAAAGGCAAATGCATAAAACAGTAAATATAAATTATACTTATGAGCATACAATATAATAAGATGCAATCTATGATAATAACAATATAAAAGAGGTACAGAGATTAAAATATTACTTGTAATCCCCAAGGTAACACTAAAAAAAATTAAAATATACACTAAAGAAAAGGAGGGAATCAAAATACAGACAACAAAAATTACCTAAATACAAAACGGGAACAACAAAAGTCAACTTACTACAAATAAAGGTCATGGGGCAATAATGAAGGAATTAAGGAACAAAAAGCACACAGGACACTTAGAAAAACAAACAGCTAAATGCAGAAGCCCTTCCTTATCAGAAATTACCTTAAATTACCTTAAACTCTTCAACTGAAAGGCAGAGATTGGCATAATTAATTATAAAAACATGATATAACTAAATGATGTCTATGAGAGTTGAAAGGAATAAGAATGTTGGACACATATCTTATGTCATAGATAAAAGTTTATTCAAAATAGATCAAATATCTAAATTTGCTACAGCATAGATAGACCTAAAGAGTATTATGCTAAGTGAAATAAACCCGTCAGAGAAAGACAAATACCATATGATTTCACTTATATGTGGTATCTAATGAACCAAATAAAGTAACAAACAAAATAGAAACAGACTCATAGATACAGAGAATAGGCTGCCAGCTGCCAGAGAGGAACAGGGTTGGAGGACTGGTGAAAATGGTGAAGGAATTAAGCAAAAAACACACACACGCACACACGCACACACAAAACAAAAAACCCAACCAACCAAACAAAACCCTCACAGACACAGACAACAGTATGGTGATTACTAGAGGGAAAGGGGATGGGGGAGGTAGAAGAGGGTGAAGTGGGGATAAATGGTGATGGAAGGAGACTTGACTTCAGGTGGTGAACACAGTATACTATATACAGATGATGTATTTATGTAGTACACAATTGTACACTCGAAACCTACATAATTTTATTATGAATGTCACACCAATTTAAATAAATAAACAAACTTAAGACATAAGACTATACGAAACTCCTTGAAAAAAATATTAGGGGGAATCTGCATGATCTTGGATTTGGCAATGGTTTTCTAACCATGACACCAAAATCACAAACAACAACAACAAAAATAGATAAAGTAAACTTCATCAAAATCTCAGACCTTTAGCTCTGGCTGGTGTGGCTCAGTGGACTGAGACTGGCCTGTGAACCAAAGGGTTGGATTCCCAGTCAGGGCACATGGCTGGGTTGAGGCCATTCCCCAGTAGGGGGCGCATGAGAGACAACCACACATTGATGTTTCTCTCCCTCTTTCTCCTTCCCTTTCCCTCTCTAAAAATAAATAAAATCTTAAAAAATTTCAGACCTTTGTATATGTTTTATATCCCATTGTACTTCCATTGCAGTATACAAATAAATATTTTCAATAACTTGGTCATCTATGAATTTTAAGAAACCATTCATAATGATGCTCTGATTTACTTTAGATAGTAGATATTTCAGGTATTGACTTCTATATTCTGGTCAATTCCAAATTTCCATTAAGAAGGAAAAAAGGCCTCCCTGATTATTAGAAAAAAATGTATACCTACACTGGTAAAGGTTATAAACATTAGTGTTTTGGATGGATGTCTTACAAATATCCTTTAGTTATTAAAAAAATACATGCCAGGATATTTTTGTAGTCTTAATTCTAAATCTTTTGCCAAGTGTGGTGGAGAATTACCACGCCCCCACCCCCACCCTCATGTTCCTGACTTTGGGCACAGGTGACATGCTTTGGGCAAAGGTTAGTAAATGTGGAAGTACTTATACAGTCCAGTCTGATCTCTTGTATCTCTGCCATTGCAATCGCATGTTCTGGCTAGTCTGTTGGTCCGTGATGTATGAGATACAGATGAAACACAGACCTTACCCAGTTGAATCCAACCTACAATGGTCAAACCACAGCAGGGTAACTAAACCCAGCTGAAATGAGCAAACTGCCCAGCCACACCCAGCCTACATCATCTGCTGCCCAAACACCCACCCCAGCCATAGAGATGCATCTCCTAGTAAATGGTTGTTTTAAGTCACTGAGTTTTAACATTATCTGCTACACAAGAACTGACCCAGACATTTAGCAACAAGAAACACACCTGCCTTACATCTGGTACTGCCAGTAAAGAATCTCTCTTATCTGTCCCTTGTCCCTGCAACTTGGACTACTTTTGGGTCTATGCTATTTGGCCCCTTCGGGAACCACAGGGAATACCAGGCAAACTAGGTAAACCTCTTTAGAACAGCCCCTCTCCTCCCCACCCAGACCTCACCGAATCTTCTTCCATTGTTTTGCTGTTTTGCACAATTGGGATGCAGTTAAGTAGAACTACGACAAGCAGGATGATTACTGAGGAATGTCAGAGCAGGCTACTGGGTGCCTTTTTTTTGGTGTGACAGAATGACATGCTGCCTGGGAAGAACTTATTGTGAGGAAGTAAGGTGTTAAAAACCCAAGACCAGCACAATAACAATGCCCAGAATCACAGTTGCTGGGAGTGAGGGTAGAGAAAACAGAAGGTAAATGTAATGTTTTTTTCTTCACAAGTAACATTTTATTTAAGTATCCAGAAAGAATAACATAATAAATGTCTATATTCTCTCCATATTTTCTTTTTTTAATTTCTATTGAATTTATTGGGGTGACATTGCTTAATAAAATTACATAGTATTCAAGTGTACAATTCTATAATACATCCTCTATATATTGTATTGTGTGTTTACCCTTTTCTTGAAGCTTGCTTTTTACTAAAATAAACAAACATTATAGAAAAAGCTAAAGTCCCTTTGGTAACTACCCTCAATAGCATTTCTTTCTCTTGTTCTCAGACATAATCACTATTATGAGTTTAAAATGAATCCTTTCAGGTTTTGTTATTTTGTACTTAGTACAAACTGGTATTCACTATAAAGTTATCTCTTTTTCCCCACTTTCAAGAACTCATGCACAGATCCAAAAAAGAGAGAAGATTCAAGCCCAAACTGAAAGAGCTAGTTTTAGGGGAGAAACTGTATTTAAGACATTTGGGAGAATGTGTGGTTCAGTAAGGAGGGAAAGGAGTTCTTTCCACTCTAATAAAGCAGCATTAGTGCAGTAAGATCGGGCCAAGGTACAAAAATAAGACAAAAGAGACAGTACCACTGCCAACAGCAGTGCTAACAGCAGCGCACAGGCTCAGCGGGCTGGAGCACTGAGGCTGTGGATGGTGAACACAACAGCTCTCTTGAGTGGGCATCAACTGTTCCATCAGTAGCGACAGTCAGAGGCAGCACTGGCCATTTTAGAACTGGAACCCCGGGCGTGGCCATCAGCATTCTCAGTGGTAGCACTGGTAGCTGGAGAACGGTGCTGGAAGCCCAAGTGACTGTAGGCTGAGAGGCTTATACACCCCTTGAAGACTTTAGGAAATTTTGAGGAGGTCCAGAGGTTAGGAAAGAGTAGGAACTAACTAGAGAAACACTGATTATAATTGTTAATATTATATAATTCAAAGTGTCTAGTAAAATATTAACAATAAAGATAACTGCATATAGAAAGTAAACGAAAATCCTCCCTGATGAAAGATAACATCATCTTTGGCTTCAAATTATTGCCACAAATAATTTTTCAAATATAGTGTTTAGCAAACAATCAGTGATAATGAAGCAAAACTCCTTTTTCTGGCCAAGAGCAGAATAAATGGTTTGGGAATATCTCTCCCACTGTAATTAACTGTAAAACTAGACACAATAGATAAAGCAACTGCTTTCAGGGGTAGGCACCAGGCAGCATGGGACTAATCTCAGAGATAAGGGAAATCCATTAGGTGAACTCCTTGATTCTTGGCTCTCTCCCTGAGTGAAACGTCCTGACGAAAGCACCTGAACACTGAGGAGTAAGCAGCATTCGGTGGTCCTGCTAAGCTGAGGTGAAAGAGGAGAATTAAAGAAGCTAACTGGAGAGAAGGCAGCTGGATAGGAAAAGGGCCCCACAACTCTGGGGCACCCGTGTGAGTCTGTGGCTAAGAGCATCACAGAACACATTGCTGGGCTCTACCTCCATAATTTCTGATTCAGTAGGTCTGGATGGAGCCTGAAAATATGTATTTCTATCAAGTTCCTAGGAGATACTGATGTTCCTGACCTGGAGCCAGACTTTGAAAATAGCTCTTGCTGAACAAAAGACAGTGTAAGTTAAAAATATTAAACCTTTCTCACTCATTGGGTCAACACAGAATTACAATAAGATGCCTGAAGATACAAGAAAAAGATATAATTAACTTTACACAAAATCAACAACTTCTATGGTAAATAAAATTTCTTAAGACTTTGAAGGCCTACCTGAAGATCTTTCACATTTGGAAAAGGAATTCCTATGGTTATGACAGCGCGGGCATTGTCATCTGAGAAATCCAGACCCTCGCTCACTTTACCACGGCAAACCGCTACCAGGAGGGCTCCGTCTTAAGCAACAGAATGTAGACATTTTTCAAAGCATGCTCAAAATTCCCCGAAATTGCTTATTGTTGTCATTTTGAAAAGCTCTGATTTTTAAGTAATCATAGTAGCAAACTTAAAAGAATCAAAATTAAAACTATTTTGAGACAGAGCGTAACAAGTTCAATGTCTTTAAATATACCAGGAAAACAAAATTGCACTTAGGAGCAATGTGGCAGGAAACCACCTTACAAGCTGTGTATCACCCAGAAACTTAAACAGAACAACCATGTAAGAGCAGCAACTTGCACATGAACTGAGCAGTTGTGAACCAACTGTTTTACCTTTAAAAATTGAAATTGCAATCATTACCATTACCGTCAGCATGCAAAGTTCTCAGAACTATCTAAATTATTCTTAATTTATACAATATATCATACTGAGTCAATATACTGAAAAGTATATAAAATATACACAGAACATTCTATTATACAAGGATATTGACAATCATAGGATCTTTATGGTCTTGCACTGTTCATAAATTATTACTATTAGTCCTTCCGTCAACCTCCTTATGGACATTCTCTAACTTTGATATTGAGTCTTCAGTCGTGTTTTGAAAACTCAAGTTCACTTTATGTAATAGAATATAAGCAGGGCTCATTGGCTAGTAAGATACTTGAATTTATGCATGCTCTCTCTGCCCTCTTTCATAACACATCGTAGGTAATATAGGGAAGACGATAGAATAATAGCTGAATGTTGCCCCAAGTGAAAATATTTACAGGAGCTCCAAATAAAGAATTTCTTTAACTTATTTTCTTTTTACTCAGGAGTATAAAATATAATTCTTCTAAGTTCAATTCATTTAGAAAGATAATACCAATAAAGTTCTAACAGCACCAACTTATTTTATAGTACAAAATATTTTTTCATTGATCATCCAATAATTCCCAATTACCTTTCTCTCCTTTGTACTTGATTGCATCATAGTACACCTGCAGTAATTCATCGAAATCAGTTTTTTCTCCTCCCTGTGGTTCTGCAATGACTGTCTTCACCAACTCCAGGTTATGCCATAAACCAGTGGAGAGCCAACGTTCTTTTAACTTTTCTAGTAACTGAAAATGAAAGGGAAAGTGAGTTTTTGTGTGTCCAACGGAATAAACTCACCTTGATTTGTTTGAAGCCAATGTGGCTACAACATGACCATGGCAAACATATTAACATTCCTGCGTATTACATGTCTCCCCTACAAAATGAGGAAAACAATAATATGTCATACAGTTGTGACTGGGTTAAATTCATTAACTGATTTAGATCGCTTTGCATGATGCCTGGCACCATGAATGTTAAGTGCTGCCGCCGCCGCTGCCATTCCTATTACTAGGAACACTGCTGCTGCCACGACTTCTGCTGTTGCTATATTGGGGATTTCAAAAGCAGGGGAAAAAATGACTTCTGTTAAAGTTAACAAATTCTAAAAATTCTCTTTTTAAAACCTAGGGTGGATTTCTTTAATATTAACTAAAAATTCTTTACATGAAAATTCTTTAAGACCATTTTACCTAATCCATAGGCAGCTGTTTGAAAATTTGTCATATTCAAACAAAACAAATAAATATATGAACAGAGACTCAGATAGCCAACAAGTAGAAAATATATAGACAAATAGAACACTCACAAAAATAACCATGTATTAGATTACAAAAGGATCTTCAAGAAATGTCAAAGAATCTTTATCAGATTAACCACATAGTCTAACAGCAATGCAGCTCTGATTAAGAGTCAAGCCCTGAGCAGTGTGGTTCAGCTGGTTGAGTGTCGTCCTGCAAAGGGAAAGGCTGCTGGTTGGAGTGCCCGCCAGGGTTCATGCCTGGGTTGTGCTTGTGGTCCCGGGTCGGCGCATGTACAAGAGGCAGCTGATCAATGTTTCTCTCTCACAGGGATGTTTCTAAGTGAAAAATATCCCTCCCTTCCCCTCTCTTTCTTCCTCCCTTCCCCTCTCTCTAAAAATAAATAGATGGAATCTTTTTTTAAAAAGTCAATAATGCAAAGCCAGTGGGAAAAAAATAAAAGCCTCCTGGCATTTCTCATATTCAATCTATTAACCTTGTTAATTTTGTTTCCTTCTAAGTATCTCTCTGTATCCAAAGATACCAACTTAGTTCTAGCTATCATAATCTCTTGAAGATCTACTCTAATCATCTCCTAAATGGATTTCTTGGGTCATATCTATCACTCTTAGGTCATTTCAGCTGAAGCAATATTTTCAAAATATGAACCCACTTACATCTCCACTTTAAAAATTCAGTAGGGGGTTCATCAATGGACCCTTCTTGCCCCTGATAGAAGGGTTACACCCTGCCTATACCAGACACAAATTAACTTAAAAATACCAAACACCTATGAATGTAAGACCTAAAACTATAACTTTTAGAAACCAATCACAGGACAAAATCTTCAGGACAATGAATCTGGCAATGATTTTCTGAATAAGACACCAAAAAGCATGGGTAAGAAAAGAAAAGCATAAATTGGACATCGTGAAAATTTAAAAACTTTGCAAATTAGAGAAAACTATCAAGAAAGTGAAAAGGTAATCCACAAAATGGGAGACCATATTTACAATTCATATATCTGCTAAGAGGTTATATCCAGTATAGATAAAGAACGCCTACAACTTAAAAACAAACAATCCAGTTCAAAAACGGGCAAAGGGTTGGAATTTACTCTTCTTCAAAGACAAATGGCCAAGAAGCAGAAAACAGATGCCCAACCTCAGTGACCCAAACTACAATGAGGTTCTAACTACCTCACACCCATTAGGATGACTACTATCAAAATAATAGAAAAGAGGTGTTGGCGAAGATGTGGAGAAATTGCAATCCTCGTACATTGCTGGTGGGAATGCAAAATGGTACAGCCACGGTGATAAATGGTTTGGAGTTCCTCAAAAAGTTTATAAACATAAGCCCTGGCTGGCGTAGCTCAGTGGATTGAGCGCGGGCCTGCGAACCAGAGTATCGCGGTTCGATTCGCAGTCAGGGCACATGCCTGGGTTGCAGGCCAGTTCCCAGCAGAGAATGCATGACGGGCAACCATACATTGATATTTCTCTCCCAATCTTTCTCCTTCCCTTCCCCTCTCTAGAAAAATAAATAAATAAAATATTTTTTTAAAAAGCTTATAAACATAAAACTATAATATGATCCAGCAAGGTATATTACAAAATAACTAAGGTGGGCATTTGAACAGATAGCTGTATATCATTATTCATAGCAGTATTATTCATAATAGACAAAAGGTAGAAACAACCCGAGCAGTCATCAACAGATAAATGGATAAAACAAACTAGTATATACATATAATAAGACAGTATTCACCCATAGAAAGTAATAAAATTCTAATTCATGCTACAATGTGGATGAACCTTGAAAACGTAATGGTAAGTGAAGTAAGCCAGATACAAAAGGACAAATATTGTACGATTTTATTTTTATGAGGTACCTAAAACAGAAAAATTGATAGAAAAAGTAAGTAGAATAAGAGTTGCCAGGGCTTGAGGGTGGAGAGAATGAGGGGTTATTGTTCAGTGGATACAGAATTTCTAATTGAGATGGTGAAAATGCTTTGGAAATGGATAATAGTAACGGTGGTATAATATTGCAAACATAATTAATAACACTAAATTGTACAATTAAAAATAGTTAAACAGCAGGTCTTGTTATGTATATTTTACCGCCGTTTTAAAGATTGAAAGTAAAACACATCCGCACATGCACAAAAATATATACATATTATACTATAGTATAAATGAATAAATTAGTAACACATGTACCAATGAGAATAACAGAAATCTAGAGGTATTGAGTTAAAAAAGCAAATTACAGATAGATAACATACAAATAATTTTATTCATACCAAGGTCAAAAACTATTATTATTTAGGCATATCTATAAACCATTTCTTAAAAAAATAAGCAGCACTCGTATCTTCCAGGATGAGAGGATATAATTGTGAGGGGGTACATGGAACATTATTCCATGTAGGAATAATGTTCTATTTCTTGTTGAGTGGTCAATACTTAGATGTTCATTTTACTATTATTTGAAATGTACCTATTAAATTTACACATCACACACATTATAGTTCATAATTTAATGAAAAACAATACTATTTTTATATTAATATTGGTGAATTAGAGGGGTAACAATGGGTACATTCAGGCTACTAATATAGTAATCCAGAAATGGATATAGCTTGAATTAGAAAGTGTTAAAAAAAAAAGAACTATGCAAACTTGAAAGGAAGGAAAAGTATGCAGCACAACCTTTCAATTTCATATGCAGGCAAAAATCTGTCCGAGCATTATATAGGGAAATGGACTTGACCAAACTCACTGTATACTGTTAAGATCTACACTTACTGAAATTATTTGAATTTACATATTTTGTCCAGTAGAAATGCAAATAATTTCTATCTAGGAGAACAGGTAACCCCAAAGGTTACAGTTTATTAGCCTGTAGTACATTAACCAGTTTTTTTAAAATTTTATTTATTTATCTTTAGAAGGGAAGGGAAGGAGAGCAGGAGAGAAATATCAATGTATGGTTGCTTCTGGTGCATCCCCTGCTGGGAACTGGCTTGCAACCCAGGCATGTGCCCTGATGGGGAATCGAACCATGATCTTTTGGTTCTCAGGCCCATGTTCAATCCACTGAGCTACAGCAGCCAGGGCATTAACCAGTTTTATATCCAGGCCTGCAATCTTATATTCCATTCCTTTATTTAATTGCCTGTAAGTACATAGCTCCTTCAAATGCTCTCTGAATCAGCTTTAATTAACATCTATTCATTCCCTCATTAATCAATTAATTGAATAAACTCTTTGACAGATGTTCACTTTATATTTATATGTGAGTCATGATTGCACCTTTTTGAAAATAATGTTGTAGAGAAAGTGAGTTTATAAAATATTGGATTAGCCATAAAGTTCATTTGGTTTTTCTCCATAAGATGGCTCTAGTAGTGCTTAGTTGTCTTTACTTCATTTGATACAATTCTGTTAGACTGTATTGTGACAGCTGTCATATCAGCATGCATTTAAAAAGAAAGTTATTAAAATTGGTGAATTCGTTAAACATTTTTTATTGTTGTTCAAGTAATTTTCTGCCTTCCCCCATCCCTCCCTCCCCACCACCCCAGCCCTCCCCACCTCCTTCCCCTGTTTCTACCCACCCTTGTTATTGCCCATGTGTCCTTTATAATTGTTCCTGTGAAGGAAAAAGGGTGAAGGGTTTACAGGAAAATTAGTGAATTTTTATGTAGCCATTTCAACATTGAAGATGGAAGAAAATACACATCTTTTACATATTATGCTTTATTACTTTAAGAAAGGTAAAAATGCAACTGAAACATAAAAAAAGATTTGTGCAGTGTATGGAGAAGGTGCTGTGACTGATCAAATGTGTCAAAAGTGGTTTGAGAAGTTTTGTGCTGGAGATTTCTCTCTGGACAATGCTCTGCATTTGGGTAGACCAGTTGAAGTTGACAGTGATCAAATCAAGGCAATAATTGAGAACATTCAGTGTTATACCACATGGAAGGGAGCAAACATACTCAGAATATCCAAATCAATAAAGTTATTGGTGAAAATAAAAAATGTGCCTTATATTTTATGGAAAAAAAATGTAACAGACTTTTTGGCCAATCCGATATCAAAATTCAGATGATCATGCCTCTGGTTATCTGATTAATCCAAACACAGATTGTGGTACCATTCACTCATAAAGGCAACAGAGGAAAACAGCCAAGACTGGGAGGAAAGTTTACAAATTTGTTGCCTTTGAGACTCTCAGATACGTTAATCTGACATTGAGTGTATGACTGAATGTGATTTTTGATTGATACTAAGAAATATATATTTGGTCTTTATCTCTACTCTAGAACGGAGCTCCTAAAACCCTCAGGGCTTCCTGAGCAATAAGAGCTGTAGGGACATCTTTTATTCCCAGATCCTAAAATAGCTTCAGAGCCAGAAAGGTGAAATTATAAGAAGTCTCTTTCAACCACACCTGAGTGTATATTAATTAGACTTTTGGACAGCCCTCAAGTAACC